ATGAGTACTGAAGCAGTTTTTCTGAAACCACGTGCACCATTCAAACTGGCTGCCTTCAACGTTCGCATATTTATGCAGGTCGGACAACAGATAGGGCTGGCTATGGAAAGTCTTAATATCGACGTTTGTTGTCTATCCGAAACCCGTATTGAAGACTCTGGTGAAGTATTACAAATTCGATCTCCATCTGTCACTTCAAAAAGCTTGTTTTACGTGCGTTTATCCGGGGACCCTGTGGCATCTTCGTCTGGGCTTGCTGGCGTTGGTGTCGCACTAAGCGCTAGAGCTGAGGCAGCACTAATCGATTGGATCACCATTAACAGTCGGTTATGTGCTGTTAGATTAGAGAGTTCCATGAAAGTGAGAAGAAATCGGCGTTAGAAACGATGTCTTTTCGTCATCTCCACCTATGCCCCGACAGATGGCAGCCCGGATGCAATCAAGGATGAATTCTACCACCAGTTAACTGTTCTTCTCCAGAAAGTGCGTTCGACAGATATTGTAGTACTAGCCGGAGACTTGAATGCTCAGGTCGGGTGTCTAGGCACAGAAGAGAGTCGTTTAGGTGGCCGATGGGGACTTGTTGGTCGCAGGACAGATAACGGGGACCGTCTACTGCAACTATGCACAGACCACAACCTGTTTCTGGCTAGCACTAACTTTCGGCACAGTCATCGCCAATGTGCCACCTGGCGTCCTCCCTCTGCATCTCAAGCCTGGACTCAGATTGATCACATCGCGATCAGCTACCGCTGGCGTGGTTGTGTACAAGACTGACGCTCCTTTTGGAGTACCTATCTGGACTCTGATCATGCCTTGGTCTGCGCCAATCTTGCCTTACTTCTCAGTGGCCAACGAGGTGACCGCCACCAACGGATTGATGTTAGCAAGTTGGTTGCAACTTCTGTTGCAAGTAAGTATCAAACCGAACTAGCTTCTAGGCTAGCTACCATTCCACCGAAAAGTATAGATGAGCATTGGTTGCAATTGCATGACGCCATGAAAATGGCGGGTACAGTCAGTTGTGGGTTTGCGAAATGTCCCGCTTATAAGCACTGGGTTTCTTCTGGTTCCTTACAACTCATTGAAGCCCGTCAGTCTACTCCGGGTGACCGTGAGTTTGAACACAAACGAAGGCTGTTGCGTAATGAAATCGGGCAAAGCTTGCGTAAGGACCGAGAAGCCTGGTGGTTGTAGCGTACTAATGAGCTGGAAGCAGCAGCTGTATCTTGTAACTACCAGAAGCTCTTCCAACTCATCCGAGCTACTGGCAGTAAGAAGTCTGGTGTAAGTGAAACAATCTGCGAGGATGAATGGATGCCAATCACTAACATCCACCGATGTCTTGGACGATGGGAAGAATTTTGAAGGGCAGTTCAACTGGCCTGCTGCTCCGGCAACATCGGTCAGACTGTCCTGCCCTCCATGGCCGGTGACGACTGGTCCACCGAATCAGGCGGAAGTCTGCAAGGAACTCCAACTCTTGGAACGCTACAAATCACCGGGCCCAGATGACTTACCTCCGGCTCTTTTTAAAGATGGTGGTTACTGTATGGCTAAGGAACTGACGACGTTGTTTACAAAGGTGTGGGAGCTAGAGAGTGTATCAACGTCATGGAATGAGTCGATAGTTGTCCCTATCTTTAAAAAAGGTTCACGTCGTTCCTGTAACAACTATCGGGGGATAAGTCTACTTCCGATTGCGTCCAAGCTATTGGCTTCCGTCATCGTAGGTTGTTCAAAACCCGAGAAAGATTGACTCGCGAGGAGCAGGCTGGTTTTCCTTCCGGTCGAGGATGTATTGATCATATCTTCACCCTCCGCCAAATGTTAGAACACTGCCATACTTTTCAAAGGCCAACAATCGTAGTGTTTCTTGACATCAGGGCTGCCTTCGATTCGTTGGACAGGACTGTTCTCTGGGATTGTCTATTGAAGAAGGGTGTGCCTGAGAAGTTTATTAACATCCTAAAAGCCCTATATACAAAAACGTCAGATAGAGTGAGGGCATACAACCACCTTTCTCCATTGTTCCATTCGAGCAGTGGGATTAAACAGGGTTGCCCAATCTCAATATTCCTCTTCAATTTTGCCATCGATGACATTCTGGAAACAGCTCTGATGGCTGTAAGTAATGGTGGTGTGGATTTGTTGCCTGGAGAAAGACTCCTCGACCTCGAGTATGCGGATGATATTGTCTTACTGTGCGAGAATACCCAAGCCATGCAATCCACACTTAATCAGTTAGCAATCAGTGTCCGTAGGTACGGTATGAGCTTTGCACCTTCGAAGTGCAAAGTACTTCTACAAGACTGGCAGGACTCTAATCCTGTACTCACTCTGGATGGAAAGCAGACAGAAGTGGTCGAGCAGTTCGTGTATCCGGGTACCTGCATAAGTGCTGGTGGGGGTGTGAGTGATGAGATCAATGCACGCATAGTGAAAGCCAGAGTGGCTTATGCCAATCTGGGCCATCTTTGGCGCCTTCGTGATGTTAGTCTGGCTGTAAAAGGTCGGATTTGCAACGCGTCGGTGAGAGCAGTTTTGCTCTATGCTTGTGAAACCCGGTCTCTCCGAGTTGAGGACGTTAGACGACTCTCTGTGTTCGATCATCGTTGTCTCCGAAGGATTGCTGATATTCAGTGGCAACACCATGTCAATAATGCAGAGGTTCGGCATCGTGTGTTCGGGCACAGAGACGATAATGCAATTGGTGTCACCATCTTGAAACACCGACTTCGGTGGCTTGGACATGTTCTACGAATGTCGTCCCAGATAATTCCACGTCGTGCATTATTTGCCGACTCTGGGACTGGCTGGAAAAAGTAGAGAGGTGGTCAGTATGACATGGAGTCGTGGTATGAAAGAAAGCTGCAAAGGGCTGTCTTGTGTCGGTCCTTCACGACTCCCTGGTTGGGGCCCGAGAGATGGTGCTACACAATGGCTAGAGACGTTATCAGATATGCCTCAGAATAGAAGCCAGTGGCTCATTGTTTTGTGTGGCGCATATATATTTGGCGCACTCCTGTACCAATATAAATGTGTTCAAATAAATTTCCAAACCTAGTCGTAAACTATAGACTTAGTAAATAGCTCCAAGGATTACGCCTAATTTACATTAACCTACTGATCAAGCATTGTTTAAAATTACTGTCGAGTTGGCTGCCAGTGCTGTTGAGCTTACATAACAATAGATTTTTATAACATCTTTTCAGCCAACCGCATACAGATAACTAGGAATGTGCATCTTTTAAGAATCCACTTCTGTTGTTGGTGTCTAGTTACATAATTTCGATTAAATCAAGTGTAGACCTCATTAATAAATGGCACGGTAATCTTTTTTATTCGAAGTATCCTTTAATTTTCGTAGACTATCATTTAATGAAGCGTTATAACTAATAAGTTGCATCTTAAGATCGAGGTATTTAACTACGAATCAATCATTTGTGGGGGTGCAAAACTGTTAAAATGAATGTATTCTCCTATCTAGGGAAAAAAATTCAAGTTATATTTATGAAATCCTGTTTGTCATTTTGATAAAGACAGATCTGTTCAGTGAGCGAATAAACTGAGCTGATAGGTTTATCAGTTGTCAACGAAAGTCAATCTTCTGTTTTGAGCAAAGAACTAAAGATGTGCCTTCCGATCCGCTTGAATATCGGGATGATTATTGAACAACTAAATTTGGTAAGGTCACCTGAGCATATAACTTTATCTACACACATGCGGCTAAAAAAAGGTCAAATGTTGCATCATCTGAAAGTTTCATCGTTTGCTAGAAACAGTCGAAAACGGTGACAAAAATGGTAATACGGCGAATTTTTCGATAATCCCAATACTAGCCTATCGGCTTGAGATCGTAGCAACAAAAAGAACCGGATCAGGCTAGAAGCAGTCCTAAACGACTGACAAAAAAACGATAAATCAACTGCACAATGAAATAACATTACCAAATGTAGATACGATTGTGCTGTAGAACAGCTTGAACCTGTGGTATACTACACACAGAAGACCAAATAACCTAACGAGGTCTTAAGCTGAATAAGTGACCTAAATAACAATAGAAGGGCTCATACAATAAACTGACCGAAACAACTTAGTCTCGACATTGAAGAAGTGTGAGGCGAACTACAAACAAACTGGATGACGAACCCCAGTAAATTCAAAATAGACAAAAATGAAGAACACAAACCTAAACCAATCAGGCAAAGACAACTCATACACAAGTGTATAAATGAATATCATCACCGACTATTTGCTACAGTCTAGGAGATAAATGGACATTTCAGAAAAGATCACGAATTAAATACCACAATCACCATATAAACGGAACACAAATCTCCGCTAGCTGATCTTAACAAAACGTATAAGACTGCAGGATGACTAAAGTAACATTTCCGATTATGCTACCTAACATACACAAGACATTTAAAATATCCAAATGACAAACCACATGAACACTGATACTTGAAACACAACACAACGTACAAAATGAAAGATACAAAGTACAGAATTCCCCATGCAAAGGATGTAAGATGCTTCCAACACGAAAAGGTATAATCAATCACTGTTATGTGGTACACCAATGGTCAGCAGGAAATAATAGTCGTGCCATGCTTCAATGTACACCTCTTCTCAAGAAGGGTTTACCAACTTCACCAACTAAGTTTGGTTGGAAGAGTCACGATGAGTACAATATTCAGTCTAATTTCTGAGGATGTCTAGGGCTTTTTAGAAAAATGGAAGCAAAGATAAATCGGACAAATATATTACCACTAATAGATAGTATTTTGAAGGGAATAAGATTGATATACCGTAAATAATGATTGAATTGGGATTTTGTTTTCATTCACTTGCTTTCAGATTGAAATAATCAGTTCAACATCATCAACTGTTTTCTTCTTAATTACTTTGTCTTAATACGCTTCTCATTTCCTTACACAAATATACATATATAAACATTATTAATGTTAAATGAAGAAAACAAAACACATTTTATACTTTCAACAATGATATTTATGTGGGAACTAATAATATATCAAAGCACCAATATATACCAACGAATAGCATCTTAATTGTATATCATAAATAGTAAGTGTAGATACATAAAGTGTAAACAGAATCCCCCTAAATTGGTTTTCTTTTTAAAAACTGTTAACTAAAAAAACAAAAATACAAAATATCCGTTTCAAAGATAAAAAAATTTAAAAAAATGAGAACTACATTGAAATCCTCAAATATATCGAAAACAAACATCATACACAATTGAATATACACATTCAATGAAGATGGAACAATGTTTTTTTAAGAATGAAGTGAAGATCTGAAAAAAATTTGAGGAGGGGAAGGGGATCAACACACCAAACACGGCTAATACAAAATATGACTAGGTTTTACTTGCTTTAAACGGTTACATTATTCTTTACTTTTTAAAAATGCTGCATGACGTTTCTCTTGTGCAACATATAATTTCTGTAATTTTTTCAAAGCACTTTTAGATAATTCATTTCCTGATGCATCATGTGTAGGCATACCCTATATTTATTAAAATTCAAGTGAACAAAACAGATAATGTAAACTGAAGTTTTTCACAAATAAAAAATTAAGCTTAGGAAACTTATGATATTGAAAAAAAAGCATGAAGATAGTGTAACTGATAAGTATTTTGACGAGACTATAATTTATGGACGAATCAATCAGATTTAAGATGGCAGGTCATGGATTTTAGCGCGAAGTTCATTTACTCACTTAGTTAAATACCATATTGGCATTATATCTGATGTTATTTCGTGACGAAAATCATAAATCTAATTCCTGGGTTCGATCCGCAGTGATGAGATCGTACATTTCCATTCCTGAAGAACCTCATACAAAGACGAAACGGCTGTTCAGAGCTTACTGATTTAAAATGATTGTCTAGCCCAGATCGGTTCATGATCTCAGTAACATTTAACAATCTTCACAAACTCATATCGACAAAAGATATGAAACTCAAAGGAATAATTTAATTAGTGGAAACACATTAGAGTAGTATATGTGTGCAAAACTGATTGGATTGAGCAAAAAAACAAATTTTTATGAAGCCCAACGAATTTGTACAAGCACATACAGATACAAAATGAGCATAAAGTTTAGTATTAAAGTGGGGATCGGATGGTTTTATACAGAAATGCACTTGTTCACATGAGTAACAATTCTCAGTCTAGTTAGTAATATTCTGAACAACTTTAATCAAAGATAGGCAAATAACCGTATTTACCTTAGAATCAAATTTTGAATATTTATCAACTTCAGATATGAAAAGCTCCGAAGGTGGTATACGTCCAGTCTTTTGCTTAACACTTTCTTTTATAACTTTTGCTTCAACACGCTAAACGAGGAAAATATAAAACAGGGAGCAATTTACTGATAGTTAGTCACTGAAACTGGTCAGTTTTATGACAATAAAACCGAACAAACTATGCCCTAAGTTAGTGAATGATAAACTGTTCCTTTATTAGCCCCCAAATGCCCTGGTACGGTCGAGAGTGAGGAGTCCGCTCTCCCTCTCGAAATGCTCTCACATGGCCACGCGTATATAGCTTCCGCCAGGGAAGACCTAATCACTGCCTTCTCGCACCACGGGTGTTGTTTACAAAAATGAGAGGACGAAAAGCGAATGTCCGGCGATTTAACCATATTCCAAACCAATGGTGCACATGAGCCCCAGTATCCTGCGGGAACATATGGCGTATGAACCAATTGTTGGTCACCGGCTACCATGGGACTGCATCTCATTACGATGCTCCACTGCCTTGTGGGTCAGACCTTCAGGTCGAAGGCTCGGGGAGTGGCCCCCTAAGAAAACCACCTGGTTCAGTTTGGGCACCCGGGCAGTAGCACAGCTCTCACACATATCGAATGAGATTTGTGTGGCGCATATGTATTTGGTGCCTCCTTGTACCAATATCTATGTGTTAAAATAAATAAATGTATTTGTTCCTTCATCAAGTTACATGCATTGTGATAAGTAAATTTTATGGTGTAAATGTAAGTGATTTTTTCTTAGATTTTCCTAATGTTTTATAATCCTATAATACAACAATCACAATACTTCAAATGTGCTTGATCTAAAGTACGAAATACCGAAGTGGGAGAACGAAGTGTTTATTATCTGTTCAAAAGATAATGATAAGATACAACTAATCTTTATATTTGGTCGATCGGTGAATAAAACCCAAGGCGCTGATAATGGAAAAGTAAAGATTATTAGGAGGAATATACGGATTGTTTGTCCATGGAATATTTTTAATGTGTAAGTGCAAAGATTTAAATTACAAAGAAAAAGCTTAATGGTAGTTTAATAGTAGGATTTATGAAATCTATATAAAGCATATAAATCGTCATTTGTTTACATAATGCAGTAGTACAGTACAGTGCAAAAATTAATGGGACAAACAGAAAACATATCAATTATCCTATGCCTAATTAAAAACTATGAAATGCATATTGAAGCCTAAATAATATGGTCTTTCAACGAATAAAAATCGATGAAATGACAAAAAATTATGTTAAAATAAAACCCATATAAGAGACATAAGTAGATGTAATATCAATCTGGAAACGTATATAAACAAAACAATAGGATGTGAGAAGATTAAAAAGTGCAAAAAGTTAGTAACTTTTTTTAATGACCTAGGATACTGTTAAATTAACCACTAGAATGTAAATTACATATCAATGATTCTCGGTTAAACATAAATTGGTAGAGATTTAATTCATCTTGAAATACAGTGAATAATTTAAATGAATTCAGTGGGTACTAATACATTCTAGAAGATAAAAGAGTACGAGAAAGTGAAACAGGGTTCTTTTGTTTTTGGATAAATCCGTTAAATAATCATAAGATATTGATAAGTTAACTCAGAGGACGAGACCAGAAAGCCTGTGTTACATCATCAAAAGAGGAAAACGAATAATTTACAGAATAATCGGATAAATAACCTGTCGTTGATCGTGGAAGAGAGAAGATGAAATAATAGGGAAAACATAACTCTGGTACAACGGCAACTTAATTCATCTAACCATATTTTTTAATTATTTCGATTCTATATCAATCAACGGACAGCCGACAGACGCATTCCAAGTAAGGATCGGAGTCATACAAGGTTTCTTACTCTCCCCCTTTCTCTATCTCCTGATAGTTGACTGGATTATGAAGACCTTCATATCTGAGGGGAAGTACGAGATGCAATTGACAGCTTTGAAGCAGCTAGACGATTTCGAATCCACAAATGAACTGGCCCTTCTATCCCATACACACGAACAAATCCAATGGAAGGCAAATAGTGTAGCAGCAGCCTCTGAATCAGTAGGCCTCAACATATACAAGGAAAAAAACGACATCCTCAACTACAACACAGAGAACAATCCAATCTCACTTGATGGAAAAACTCTGGAAGAGGTGGAACCTTTCAGGTACATGCGAAGCATCATCGATGAACGTGGAGGGTTTGATGCAGACGTGAGGGAGAGGATTGGTAAAACACGGACAACATTCCTACGATTGAAGAACATATGGAACTCAAAACAACTGTCAGCCAACATCGGAATCACAACATTCAATACGAACGTCAAGACAGTTCTACTGTACGGAGCTAAAACTTGGAGAAATACCACAACCATCATCAAAAAGGTAAAAGTATTTATAAATAATTGTTTATAGAAGATACTGAATGTCCGTTGGCTGTATACCATCAGCAACAGCCTGTAGGAGAGAACAAACCGGTTTCCAGTTGAAGAGGAAATTAGTAAAAGACGTTGGAAGTGAACAGCACGCATTGAGGAATTCATTAAACTGCATCACGAAGCAAGCGCTAACCTGGAATCCAGAAGGGAAAAAGGGAAGCGGATGGCAAAAGAACACACTATGTTGAGAATTGGAAACAGATATGAATAGGATGAATAGCAACTTGAAAGGCTTTCCTAGGACAGAGTTGGATGAAGAATGTTGGTGAGAGACCTATGCTCCTTCACGAGGGGTAACAGGTGTAAGTAGGTCAATCAACAACTAATATCAACTCAAGCATTAAATAGTGTAGTATAGCACATATTCAGTTGATGCAACACTAAAATCATACTGATTAATTCACCTTCTACATGAAAGTGTATATCTAATCTAAACATATCTCACACTTGGTACGTTTATCAACTAATGAATTAAAACAGTTGAACTGAACAATGTATGAACTAACGTATGAGAAGAATCTGAAATTTTTAAGTAAACAAAACTAGCAAGCTTAAATAAACAGTAATAGTACGTGACTTTTCGTAATTACCTTTGTTTTACTTTCTGAATGCTCGCTCATCAAAAATTTCTTGTCAACCAATCCAATAAAAGGTGAAATATCTAAACCACAACTAAGATCAATTGCTGTAGCTCGATCCTGAAGCCGAATTCCAGCATTGACAAGATCAACATCACGAAAACGATCACATGCTTCGTATAACCGTTTCTTGCATAAAGAATCAGTTATGGAGCCTGAGGATAGAACCTTTCTTACTGTATTTCTTATAGAAATAAGTGTATGAAGAAAATTAAGAACAACTGGCCAAATATTAATTTCTAATCCATGTGGTATACACGTCGATTCAGAAAGACTAGCTTGATCGGTAGTTTTCAAAATGCATTCTAAAGATTCTATTAAGGAGAAAAGAGTAACAGCAATAAGGATCTATTCAGAATATATATATATATATATATATATATATATATATATATATATAAACAGGTTACTTTGTTAGATGAAAAACCTATTCAATAGGGTAATTGTCTTGTTTTTTAAAATTTAAAACCAATTGAGAGTTTATGTCAATAATTTAGTCTCATAAGGAGTTAACAATCAGTCAGTTTGTATTATTGCATATTCATAACCGACTAGTAATTACGTATACTATTAAATTGATTAGCAACTAATTTCATAAATAATAAACATTCTTCATTACAAATTATTAAATTATAATTCAATAACAATACTTCATTGCTAAAAGTGACTAATGCTTTGAACATTACTGGTAAATATAAATTGAGACAACATAATAAATCCTACGAAACATACATATACAGATTAATTTAATAAAGAATGAATAGTGAATGTCGTTGTTGCTATTAACTAACAACAACATTGACCAATACAATAAACTGATATACAGTCAACTTCTAATCTTAAATAAGAGTTCTTTACTTATAACACAGAACTAGACAGATTAGTTTTACTTAGTTGGAACAGATTGTTATGAAATTTGTACATGATTGTTAAAGTATTGCAACGATTATAATGGATACAGTCAGTCAGTCAGCAACAACGTAGAACTCCGTACGTACGTATATCACGTTAGCACAGAGATACAACTGTCGATCAAATCCTAGTGACAAAAGGAGTAAAAGTATAAGCAGTAATCGGGAAGACTAAGGTTTGAAGATGTTATTAAATGAGTATAATTCAGTGAAATGAATTCGGAAAGAGAAAAAAAGGACATGAAGAATTTAGAAGATTAGAACTTGGGAGAACACAAAGAGCAGATGTACCTGCGCCATCGCAAACGATTTTGAGTAATGTTATTCAAGGTCTCTAACCATCGGTTGCTATCATCTCGCGGTCCCCAACCAGGTAGTCTACACCTACCAACATGGCTCAGTCCACTTGTCAGTGACTTCATGGACTTGTGCCCTTAGCTTTCTTACGACGTACTACACCAGTAAACATCTCACAACGGAGCAGTCGGTGGTTGTGCATACGTAACACATGTCCCAGCCATCTCAACTGATGAAGTTTCACTACTTCACCAACTGACTTGTCATCCTTACATAGTACCCGTTTCCTAACAACTGCATTACTTACTCGGTGGTCTCAAGATATACGAGCAATGCTTCGAAGACAGCTATGGATACAGTCTTTCACTATTAAAATGTATCAGTGAAAGAAATATTTTATTTTTATTATTACAGGTGTATTCAAACTAGCGTTAGTGTCTTTTAGGAACATGAAGTAAGCAATCCTCAAGTTATACACAGAGCACTAGGTAAGGATGGCAAATCGATTGATAAAGTAGTGAAGCTTTATCGAATGAAATGGTAAAGATATGTATTACGTATACCCATTCACCGACTACCTCAACGCGCGATAATAGACAGGTAAAAGAGTAAATTGGAAGATAGAGGCGTCCAAACCAATACATGGCATCAGTCTATGAGGATACTGACTGTCGGACTGAACCATGTAAGTGAAGACTACCTAATTGGGGTACGGGTGATTATTATAACCAGTGGATCAATCTCTTCTTGGTATATTTGCATCCTGTGTGTCATTAAGCCACAAGCACTTTTTAAGCAGAGATGGATGGTGGCTAGCAATAGAATCCAGGACGCGCGTTTCAAACTATCATCCGACCAGCCGGATGTACCTTCACCACATTCCACAATAATAAATATTACTATGGTTAATTAATTAACTATAAGCCAAAAGATATAATTCCCAAGTCTTATAAAAAACAGCATCAATATAATAATACGTAACAATAAACTCAGAATACCAAAATATATAACTGAAAACTTACGCCTTTCATCTGATTGCACATTGAATAAATCAATTCCATACTGTTTCTGCACTTCATAGGCGAAAGTATTCACAATCTCCTTAAATGTGTCACCTGGGAAATTCATATAAAATATTTGCTTCACGAAAAATCACCTTTCTAGTGTTATTTAATTAACCACCTTTTAAAACATTGAATCAATAAAAGAGACTTTTTCATTCTTAACTATGAATACCAACGATCGAGAGTAAACAACTCTTTTATACATTAAAGGGTAATATACATAATCGCAGTCCTCAGTAATTGAATTCCAGTTTACAGAATAGAATAACCAACGAGAACAAGCGTCAATTACATGGCATAAATGCGTTTAATAGTTGAGGTGAATAGGTGACAATAAGTGCTGATGTGTCGACCCCAACAGCAATTGACATCCGAAGACATATATGCTAGAGATGTTGTGTGCTCGTCCTGTGCTAAAAAATTTCCATTATCTCGAAAATATATAACTTCAGACGAAACATGAAGCGTGGTTTTGTCAAGGAGTAACCATTTAGATAATAAATAAGCTAAAATGGCCAACAAAGGCATCACATACTAAGAACACACCACATAACTAGTTTGTAAAGACAGACTGTCTTTTTCTGTCATTAGTCTCAGTTTATTTTTAGGCGGTTAGGAGACTTTCAGTGTCTAAGTAGTTCAAGGGTAGTCTCAGATTGTGAAACTGGGTGATATAAGTTTAATCACACGAGGAATATTCACTTTCTCAAGATTTCAGGTATCCCTATCTAAAAAAAATAATCAAATTCAGCAACCAAATGATGATTAGCATCAAATTAAGTGCACAAACTAGGGACTAACAATGCTGTTCAATCGAATAAACTTCATTAAATGAAGTATGATTAAAACTGTTAAACTGCTGGTTGGAAATAATATGATTAAACCAATAAGGGACATCATGGAAAATGTATGTTCAACACTATGTACAGTATTCTATCCAACTCACAGCAATATTATATCAAGCCAAAGTGATGAAAATTATTTTTGATGAAAATTAAGTTAGGCTAGGAAACGAATTGTAGATTTTTAGTCAAGAACAGTCGTTTGGGATGAATATATAATCCTTATATTACTGACCAGCTGAAAAAACTTGAGTGTTTTATTAAAGTGATATGAGAAGTAATTAGTTATTTAGCCAAGATAGACATCTACCACAGTAATTAATAATAGAAGTGATATTTATTTATTTTAACACATAGATATTGGTATAAGGAGGCACCAAATACATATGCGCCACACAGATCTCATTTGATATGTGTGAGGGCTGTGATACTGCACGGGTGCCCAAACCGAAGCACGATAGAAGTGATAATCGTATATCAACTCTGATTCACTCGAGATTTCTGTTTAGATTAAACCGTGGTTGACTGCATTTCAAATGAATAAATCATTCTGTCTCTATAACCAAATTCGCAATTGTTAGCGTAATATAATCTAGTGGTCAAATCTAACTGATTCGTATGGGTAGTATTACCTTGTATAGTATAATCTCGTTATAATATAAAGTAATAAAACTAACCTTCATGAATAATAGCTTGAATAAAAATGGAACAAGCTTCCAACGATTTATGTACACTGGATATAAGACGTTCTTCAGTTAGCGTATCGAGAGAAAGCCAACTACGGAAACCAAATGCACTTTCATCAGCTTCTCTTAAAGGAATACTTTCATGATGTTCTGGAACTTTACCACCGGCTATGATAGCTCCAGATGGTACCGGAGAACCAGCAGCAACAGCAGTGTGATCAGCAACTCCGAAAATACGCAACAATTGAAGAATAAAACGACCTGTAGCGAAAGCATCATCAGCCAGTTTGGAAATACACTTGTTTGGTTCAATACGACTGAATATTCTTGAGTCAGCTTCAGACATTAAAACTTTAATACAATCCAGAACTGATCGAGTATCACAAGAATCTAGCAAAAAAATGATAAAGAACTACTGTACTTTACAAAGTTGGTATACATCTTAATAATATTTTAAGCTGAAACGAGCATTTATGATTCAGATATAATTATACGATTTTAAAGAATTCCCTCAGAAATAATTGGGCTGTTATAGAGAAGGTTTGCCGTGATGATTTGATTAGACGAAATATCTGATTGTTGGAATGTTAATCGATAGATGAACGCAATGGTATAAGGTGAGCGAGTAATGGCTACTCACGAGGCCGTATTATTGTCTCAGGTTCCCGAATGTTCCAAAACCAAAGCCCAATAGTTGGACGGATAAGTTCTCGTTACGTAACAAAACAACATGGTTATGTGCAAAATATAAACACAAAGTAGATATGATCAAATGCCTTAGGTGATAGAACGAAATTAGTTTATAGGTTATTCATTTTCCAATCGATTAAGGCTTGACTGCAAGGCTTAATCTTTGGGCCTCGTATCATAAGGTTAATTTTTATAACTGTAGTTGAAAGGGATAGATTATGGCTAAAAGTATGTGGAAAATTACAAATAGAATCCATGAGAAACCGTACTTCCTAAAACAGGAAGTCAGCAATATTAATTCTAATTAACTAGATCGCGGATATGTAACACTCAATCCTAAGACTGGTTGGAAGAAGAAGATTAGGAGTATGGTTAGTAGCCCCATCCCGCAAATAAGCGCCCTACTAAAAATCATTAACCAGAAAAAGCTATTTAAATTCTCCCCTGAGAATTGGAGAGCCTTCATATATCAATTAGGACACCTCATGATGAAGGCCAAGATTCATCGCACATCACGAGGTCAGTGCCAAATTTGAAAACCACAGTAACAATTAATATAGATGCATGGGATGTCTGGACAGTGTGAGACCAGAAGGATCACTCAAACAGCGACAGAAATGTGGAGAAATAACCTAAACGTTGCTTGGAACAGATGAAACACATTGGACACAATCTGCACAGAAAAGATGAAATTCAGAAGAGCGGTTATTGTATTCTAATGATGAAAATGAAAATGCTCCTATACACACACAACGAATTGCAAAGTTGCTCTACAAAGAAGTACAAGAATCCCCTACATGATGGTGAACTCATAGATCCAGAATCATCAAAGAATCCTTCAAAACAAAGAAGACGACATTGGTATAAACAAATCCAACCTAGGTATAACAATAAGTGATATTAGGATGTATGAAATGTGTAGATTGCTGATATTTGATATTTGGTCAAACACGTCCTGAAAAAATTATCCACAAATGACGATGCTACACAGACACAGTGACTTGTAGCGATACTCTATAAAGAAGTACAAGAATCCCCTACACGATGGCGAACTCATGGATCCAGAATCACCAAAGAATCCTTCAAAACAAAGAAGAAAACTATTACAACAAATGTCGTTCACAACTACGTGCCCACCATTCCTTCCAACGTATATCATGAAAATCAGTTTCATTATACTCTGGAATTAATCGTAGACAAATGACCACGAATACACTTGACCATTCTGATCGGAGACACAAACGCTAACGTCAGGATCGACAATATCCAAAATCAACGCATCATAGGACCACACGGACTAGGAGGAAGGAACAAGAGTGACGAAAAATCGATGGGTCTATAAACTTTAAACAACATGGTCATAGATACGACCATTTTCTCCACAAACCTAAAAGGCTTTCATTGAACCACACTTTGGAAAATCAGATCAATCACATCTGCATCAATAAAGCATTCAAAAGGTTCACGCAAAATGTAAGAACAATGGGAGGAGTTGACACGGCGTTAGATCACCACGTAGTGGTAGCCAAGAGAAAACTGAAGCTAAGCAAGCACTGTACAATTAGACAAACAGCACAAAAATGTTTAGAACACCCTTCCTCCCAAATGTAACATGCTCGAAGAGTTGAAGATAGCTTTCGGCAGTATTACGAAATCACTGTACTTCGAAAGTGAGTATAATCTACAAATGCCCAATAACCTAGAGAATGTTGACGGAATCAAGTTAATTCATAACAAATACCTGGAGTGCATTTGTATTTGTAGCGTGTATTTGCGCAAAGATTTTCCATAAAATCATATCAATACCTTTGTGGATTATTACTCAGGACTTGTACAAATTTACAATAATTTTAATGAAAGTTCATTACTAAGTTATTAATCACTTGATTTGAGATACTAAAAAAATATACAAATTATAATAAGCGTAGCGTCTCCTCTTTGTGGAATATTTTCATCATCAACATGGAGAAAAGATGAAAAATATTACTTATAGGTGACACAGTTAAATATGAAACAGTTTATTAACTATCTAGTAACTCATTTACCAGATACATATTGCGTACTTGACTATGAGCCACACTCTAAATGTAGAGGCTAATGATACTATTCAGTTGCCCTGACCGAAGCAAGTGGAACGGGGTTCGAATACATGACTTAGTGGATGAGAATTGAACAGCTTAATCGCTGTGCCACCACTTTATTACTTTGGTTTAATCCGCTACATATGACTTTTCTTACCTAGCTAGGAAATCAAACTCAAAGAATAATTCATTATTTTAAGTTTCTACGACAATCAATACAAAATAAATGTTCAACATCTAAGTAGGAGAACACAATTATCGCGACAGGTAAAATTTGCTTATAGCGTTTATAATAAATAAAGATCTATGAACACAATTTATATTTCCAATTACCACATAATGCATCATATACTTTATGTTGTATATCCACAAGAGTCTGTTGAAAGTCACCGTCTTCAGTTTCTTTCAAATCGTGTTTATTCGACAAAGATTGCTTCGCCAGAAACTGAATATTTGAACAGGTGTACAAAAAATCCTAAAACAAATAACAGCTTCAAATGAGTCCGCAGAAGTAATTAACAAATCTAAAACGTTACAACAGTAAAATGAAAAATCCGTAAAAGTGAATCTCATTAGGTCTGATGCCCGTTGTGTTAGGGTTGGGACCAGTCATAACGGTGATTTAAACAACGGGAAAGTGAATAGGTGACCCGGTGATTAGGACGTTTGACTTTAAGCCAGCAATCCTCGGGGTTTGAAACAAGCTACAAATGAGTAATATTACTAGTCCACACAATTCGAATGCTGTTTAAAGCCAAGTACACTAATATTTGTCCAGCACATGCGTTTCATTTAATTACGTACATATAAAACGACTAGTAAATAGGTATAAATGAAATTATCATCAAGTATAAGCTATCATAAATGGTGCTCGAAATGACCTAAAACAATTTGTGTAAACTAAGCCAATACCATACAAGATATACATCAATCGAATGAATATTTCTAGTATCTTTGTTTGTATTCTCCATAAACCTAAACAATTATTTGCAAAAATTCATTTTTGTATTGGTTGTTTGCATATTCCAATTGATATTTAGGACTGTAATTGATAACTTTCATGTTGGCATAAGTGAATACTGTACGGATTGTTTCAATATTACCTTAAGTCACAAGCATTATAAGCAGAGATGATGGATGGTGGCTAGCAAAGAATTTACATAAAACAACCATAGAAATAAAAATTAAAGTACAAAATATCTCAATAAACCAGTTTTGAATTTTACAAGTTATTTATTCAAAGAAAAGAAAATGTTGTATCCCGATAAGAGTAAATGAGCGGTAATTTTTGGGATCAATTTATGGACCAATATTATGAGTACATTTTTATCGTATAATTGCTTCGTAACTAAGCTGTTTATATTCATGTCCCTCTTATTATGAGCTTTATTTTCACCTATGAACTATTATTATACGACTTACCATTCATGAATTATTCCGTTTGTTAATCGCTACCTCCCTCATTCATAGCCACATCTGGCTAATTCTTGTACAATGTTGCTTCATATTTTATTGGTACGTTGTGGTCGGTTTGACTGGTATATAAACTCAGTATGCTTGAAATATAATGATTCGTATCTGAGTCTGAGACTTGCGTTCTGGACTCAAATGGCTGGGCTAGACAGGGAAGCAGGACCAATCGGGACTCTAGGTTGTTCTTACGTGTTTTACGCGTCTTTGGTCCGATCGATAATACACTTCGCTCTAATCTGCAGTCACGCAGTCACAGTTATAACAGAAAATCATTCAACTTGAAAAATAAAACCTACTTACAATTAACTGTTTCTCAAAACCAACAGCTTCTGCTAATGTATCAACACTATAATCCATAGTATCACGCCAGGAATGTAAAAGAAATATCAAACGAATTTGTCGAGATGAATGAGTTTTAAGAGCATCACGAATAGTTATGAAATTTTTTAAAGATTTTGACATTTTACAACCGGATATAGTTAAATGACCAGAATGAAGGAAATAGTTAACCCAGTGAGAATGTCCAAAGTAGGCCTAAAGTAGAAAAAAATTAGAAGATTACGAAAACTAGATTGGATGATATATGAACAATTATAGCGTCTGTATTATAGTTCATAAGACATGATAAAAAAAGTATATTGTTCCTCTCAGATCATTTAATGAGCACTCAATTTGAAAGTAGATATAACTTAGTAAAATAAAACTTAAGCATGACGTCACAAGCACATCAAAACAAATGCTGTAGAGAGGCATCAGAAGAAAACATGATAAGCACTAATCATTAAATAATTAGTAACGAGCATCATACAGAGAGAAACAACCATATAGGTAAGTCCATTTTCAATCATCTCAGTGATTTATTAATCATCTACGCTGTCACGAGGTAAAAAGAGAGAACAGATGTTTAGTTTATGACATCGTTTCTTAGAATTAAGGATGGTTGTGTTGGATTAGAATATGTAAGTCTGTCGTGACCTCCTGAGTCACGAAGTATTAAACATCATGCAACTCGGTTGCCTGAGACTTCCGATACTATTCATAATAGAAGTCAGTGGCTTTCCTGCCGTGGTTTATTATCATATATCTCATGTTCAATGAGATCTCAAGATCTCTAACTGAACAGACTATATCTTAGTTGTGTTCCCACTCAGACTATGATGTCATCTAGCTGTGATTGGAGCATTTATCGATCCCTTATTGTGACACACTTTTTTTCTGTAATATTATAAACCCTACTATAACTAGTCACACTAACAAGTTGATAATATTGCAAGTGCATCTGAGATTTACTTCAGACTGTGCCAGTTCATTATCATGGTGTGGGAATTTCAGATCGACCCCACCACTATGTATATCAAGAGTATCCCCAAGAATATCGCTAGCCATAACTGAACATTCTATGTGCCATCCAGGTCTGCCTTTACCCCAAGGACTAGACCAAAAAGGTTCTCCGGGTTTGGATGCTTTCCATAGAGCGAAATCATTCGGTGACTTTTTCTCTCCTGTTATACACAGTTCACCTTCTCCAGATTCCAGTTGATTAGTATCCCCATATGCAGTTGGCACAAGCTTAGCATAAAAATGCATAGGAGAACTTGCAAATCGATTTGTATCAAAATACACTGATCCAGATGGAGCAACATATCTGACAATAACAAGAAAAAAAGCATCTTAATCTGGTTTATAGACACATTTGACAGTATTATAAACAAATAGTCTTAAAAAATCTAACAACTGACCAACAATGAAATAAGAGATTATATATGAAAATCTTTCAGCGATTGAAAACAAATAGTTTCATCAACGCTTTCGTCGTTAATCTGATCCGAATTTATGTACTGAACTATTTGAAATTAAAGAAATCTTTGCACTGGACTATTTCTCCAACCATTACAGTTCAAATGTTGATATTATTCGGTTGTATAAATCTGAGTCACTTGATATACGTTATGTTTAAATTGTGGTACGTAGTGTTATGTATATTATATGGAAATCCAGTGATTATACATAGGATTCCAGCTATGAACAGAATTATACTAGTCATCCCAATTATCATAATATTAAATGCAGATAGAGATGAACAGACTTTGTCAAAGTATACGTTGATATATTAGTAGTTAATAGTAGTTGAAAGCACATTCAAACAACATAAGTAAGCAACATGTTATCGATGGCTATAGAACCCGAAGTACAAAACAGACAAGAGACCAATATGATATCATTTCTCAATCATTTAACAATAAATTTTTGCAATCCAACCCATCACACATAATCGATCCCGAGTATTTAGATTCATAGATGAATGCTGAATTGTCTTTGATTCGATTTATATTTGATAATTTACATTATTTCCCTGAATAGACTCTGACCAGATTGTTGATTTCGATTGCTGGAAGTTTCTATGAACACGAATGGTGAGACTATAGTTTACGAATGGACCATTCAGATTGAGAATAAATCATGGATTTCGGCGCGAAATTCAGTCATCCATATGGATAAATAGTACTTTAACATTACAGCTGAAGTTAGTTCATGGTGAAAAATCAAGTCCAATTCCTAACCCTAGCGTCTAACTTCAAATTCCAATACTAATTTTTTACAATAGTTTAAAACCTACTTTTGACCCTAGTGAATAAGTGAATCTTCTGAAGGTTACTTCAGTACTATTCAAAGGCCGTTCATTAATTATAGTTTCACCACATAAATTTATAGTTGGATATTCGGATTATTTGAAAGTAGTTCATCTTTTTTTAATAAATAACATAATATATAGCTATTTCACAGCAGTGAATTCATGAAGATAACTTGAAAGATATATTTTTATTTAATCTAAATAAAAGTGAAAAACTATAGAAGAGTTAAATATTTCATGTACACACAGTAATAATAAAAACCTTTTTACAGAGACTACAAAATCAAGAATAAAACGCCTAAAAAACTATTCATTTTTTTAGATGAACCATAGAAAAAGACTGGTTAATAGAACTTCGCTTTCTACAAAAACACTTACGCAAAGCCATTATCTATAATTTGTTTCACGTATTTTATTATTGCATCTATATACTCTGTAACCCGAACAAGTACTGATGGAGGGATGATCTGCAAGAAAAAGGATTTAGAGAGAGAATTTTCGGGATTTTTCGGTGAGCAATAATAATAATAATAATAATAATAACAGGTGCATGATGAAGAGAAATAAATATGGACATCACTGAAAGTGAATAAACTGCATTAGTATATATGTGTTTACAAACTGAAAACCGACAATGATTCGTGGTCTTTAATATAGTCTGTCACAAAAAAAGGTTAGAACTGAGTTCTAGAGAAAACAGATGGTTTCTCATAAGTGTTGCAGTACCATTTAATCAAAAAAACACGACTGAACATTGACCGCAATTTATCTAGGAAGCTTTTCACCCTCAGACTAAACAGCAATTTAGCATATCCACATATACATATTTCGTAACTACAAGAAATAATTATCTACAGGGGTATTATAATTTACGCTAATAATGAATAACAGTAAATAAGACTGAATATTAGAAAATTAAAAGCGACAATATGCAAAAACAACACAAAGCAAAGGAAGCGAATGTTTAGTTTTGTGGACAAAATCGAAAGAAAACAATGAACTAGATCTGGAACTGATAAATTTTCTGACAATAACAAAAGACAAGAGGTCAGAGAACAAAACGGACTAACTAGTGGTATAAAACAAAAGATCGTTGAACAGTTTTAGTTTCATGGGTAGCTGATACATTATAGGTAACAATATATATAGTGATTCCTGATGTTTGAAGAATATCTACTCCACTTAAAACAGTACAATTAGTGTCCTATTAACATTTGTGGAGTGTAAGTAGTACAAATGTTCCTCTAAATAATAAGAACGAAAGGTGGAAAAAATAGGGTGAGCGTAGATAATATTAAACCATATATAAACATACGTTTAAAGACTCCATGTCAACGAGATATTCCTTTTCAAAATGTCTAGCTAACACCTCGAATATTTGGTGGTCACTGATGGAAGCGCCGTAGGCTGCGTCCAAGGTATCAGCAATAGCATCACGAGCGTTCAGTATCAAGTAATTAATTGGATCCTCTTCATCAAGTGGCACAGTAGATAGGAGAGATATCAGACGATCTACTTCACTGTTTAGGTATGCTTTTTTATCCGAATCCGTTTCAAACTGAATTTTGGACTTAATTTTCTGAAAACGAAATGGAACAGAATACGAAAAATATAAGTATTGCAAAAAAACAAACACAAGAATGTAAGACATATGAAACCAGTCTTAGGTATATTTACATCAGCAAGTTAACAAAATAAAATATCTACAACAATAGACAAATTAGTTTAAAGTATATAGTTCCTAGTATTAAACATTTAAACTCCAGAAATATCAATGAACCATAAGTAAGTTTAAGAAAAACCTCATCAAAATACGGATAAAAAGTGTACAAGTTTGGTTGGTAAAACGAAGTATACAACGTATGGGTTACTGATATTCCATCAAACATAGCGTTAAAACAAATGATTAGGAGTATGGTTAACAAACGTTTATCCATCACAATAAAAATCGCTATTTGCAAGGGAGAGATACACAAAGTCTTGCGGCAATAGAAGATCAGTAGACACTCTCAGTGAACAACAATAGAGCATTTGATAAGGTACAGTATAATGGTGTCCTTCAGATTTTCCAGGTCCTTTCCAAAGTGTGTCAAAAGCTTTCTCGTTGGCCGTCCACAGAAAATAAGAATAAATTCCAAATTACCCTTGTGGAAACGAGAATATTGTGGAGTGCTTTGAGGTTTGATCCTAGGTTTCGAAATCTTTATAATTTATTCTAATGGACATCTGCCTATCATTAAGTCTGCGATACTGCTTAACAGCGATCGCTACAAAACTCGGCGTGAAGTAATAATTGATGACATTGGTATACACAAATCCAACCTAGGTATAACAATAAGTGATATTAGGATGTATGAAATGTGTAGATTGCTGATATTTGATATTTGGTCAAACACGTCCTGAAAAAAATTATCCACAAATGACGATGCTACACAGACACAGTGACTTGTAGCGATACTCTATAAAGAAGTACAAGAATCCCCTACACGATGGCGAACTCATGGATCCAGAATCACCAAAGAATCCTTCAAAACAAAGAAGAAAACTATTACAACAAATGTCGTTCACAACTACGTGCCCACCATTCCTTCCAACGTATATCATGAAAATCAGTTTCATTATACTCTGGAATTAATCGTAGACAAATGACCACGAATACACTTGACCATTCTGATCGGAGACACAAACGCTAACGTCAGGATCGACAATATCCAAAATCAACGCATCATAGGACCACACGGACTAGGAGGAAGGAACAAGAGTGACGAAAAATCGATGGGTCTATAAACTTTAAACAACATGGTCATAGATACGACCATTTTCTCCACAAACCTAAAAGGCTTTCATTGAACCACACTTTGGAAAATCAGATCGATCACATCTGCATCAATAAAACATTCAGGAGGTTCACGCAAAATGTAAGAACAATGGGAGGAGTTGGCACGGCGTTAGATCACCACGTAGTGGTAGCCAAGAGAAAACTGAAGCTAAACAAACACTGTACAAACAGCATAGAAATATATAAAGTATCTCTTCTTCTAGATAACGACGAGGAACAACTGGAAGAAATCAAAACAACAGCAACCTCAAAATCTCAGGTTCTCAGCCTCAAGAATTACCAACATCGAGGGAATCTCTATCGATTACCTGGGCAGGATTCAAGAAAGGAAAAACAAGATGGTAGTTAAAAACAGCTGAACAAGAGCAGAGGAAGCCACGGAGCAGGCTGAATATGCAGAAGCAAACAAACGAATGAAGAGCATCAGAGCTAACAAGTGAGAATATGTAGGAAATCTATCAACTACAACAGGAAAGCCGACTAGTCAGTCATATGCAACGTACAACTTGACAAATGCGCACATTCTTTAGAGAAACAACATCCCGTTAGCCCAGTATGATGAAGTTATCAAGAAAAACTCCAGAGTATAAGAGGTTGTAGTAGTATTAGTGGTTACAGAGATCAGGCATCAAAAATAAGAAACCTCTCCACCGACAGAAGAAACCGGCATCATTGGACCAGACAGAATAACAGCTGAAGCACTAAAGTCATATATAGAGGCAGCTGCAAAGAGGTTCTGTGTTCTATTCAGACACATTTGGGAAGAAGAATAAGAACCGACCGAGTAGAGGGATAACTCATCAACATATCAAAGAGAGAAGAGCTTAACAAGTTTGAGGCATCACACTACTGTCAGTGTCAGTGTTGATGAATCGAACGAAAAACTAGGTAGGTGCTCAACTTTGAAATTAACAAGCCGAATTTCGTAAAGATTAATCATGTACTGATTAAATCTAATTCCCAACCTTAACCATCAACTGTATGTCGTAATACTAGCTCCTCACACTGGTTTATAGCCTTCATTTGGTCCTAGTTATTATGTGGACAATCTCAAGGTCACTCGAGCGTTGCTCAAAGGTCGACCATAAATTATAGTCTTACTGAAGGTTGAACTACTAAGGACTTTATCTTCGATAATTCCCATTATTCATATAGGACCTTGCTTCAATATATGCAACTCTTCTTAAGTCATTGTGGCTTCGAATAATGATAAGAACATGGTTTACATTGACCAACTAGACGGCTTGTCTCGAATACCATGGAATTGTGACTAAATTATGTTTATACTAAACCAAGTTTATATATTAATGGCAATACAAAATATAGTGGTTAAGTTTTCATTAGCGTAAACTTAATAAAAAGTTAAGAGGCATTCGGCAAACACACTGATCTTTACGAAAAATGTGGTAAAACTATACCTGAATTCCTTTAGCAATATCACCGACAACTGTAGCTAGGTCGGGATCTTTGAGCTGATAATCACTGATCAGGTGATTTTGTCGAGCACGCTTAATAATCTGCAGAGGCACATAGGTGCTGGTTAGAATATATATTGTACCTTGTCATCGATATCAGTAATATTTAAGACGTAAGTGACCTTAAAATTAAAATAATCAACCAACACACGACGAATAACGTCAAAAGCGACGTAGGTCCTTCAGGGCATTAGTAAATATGAAACTGAATCAGAACCTTGCATGGCCCAGATGTGATACATCATACACGGTGGGACCACAGGTGTACCACTTAACATGCCTTCCATCTTGCGGGATAAATAGATCCTGGGGAATACGGAATAAAAAGTCAAGCTTTACCTTTCGTGACGTTAAGCTGTTATAAAGGTATAGATTAGGTAACTGTCCGTCCTGAGCATTTTGAACTGGGGTGAACCATTTGGGTTGGGTCCGTTTTTCCATTTTTCCGAAAGTAAAAGTAGACTTACATAAACTCTGTCTGAACAAACTATAGTAACACAGCAAGGGTGATTGGTAAGGCCGTAAATTCAGTGTATTAAAAAAGTGACCACGACCTAAATAACAAAGCATGAACCAATGGCGTTGGTAGCCCAACAAAAGGATTTCCCACGTTCGATTCAAAGTCCAATATTCGTGTTGAGTTTCACACTTTGATTTTAGTATTGTGTATTGAGAGCGGAATGTGAGTAGTCAGAGTTATTCCGTTCTTGGCAAGGCATTGTGAGTTCTAAGTGTGATTTCAAATGAGTAGTCAAAGATTCAAGAACCACATACTTCTGTGGTTGCTCACTGTGTTGTATTACAAGATCTTACTTCCTCCCTTGTGGATGTTAAGGTATATGTCTGCAGAAGCTGTCACCACAATAGCAGTCTTTGCCTGCATTTGTTGTTGTGTATGGGATGGAAGGACTAAGTCGGGTGATCTTATCCGCAACGCAACGCACAGAGTCATCTGTGCGTTCAAGTAACCACAGGTTTTGTCATTTCATAATGTATTTTTATTTAAATAACTAGATTATGTAGCTAATTTTGCTCTTTTTTCAATTTTTATTCGCCACGTCCGACTGCGTTACACTGGACGTCCATTGCACGCAAGGATGACATCTCAAGTCACAGTGAGTTTATTCACATAGTTGATTGTTTCCAGATAGACTGTCAGTGCATGATTTTACTGAAGAAAGGTTTGTTGTACTGTAAACTATGATTTTATGAACAACTGCCTATTGTCTTCAGTATCAAAGCAATATATACATAAATATATATTTCCTCTGTCTTCTGTTAGGTAAGTTCAACTGGCCTATATTTCGTGTTTTTGTTTTATCGTCTTAATTATGTCCATTTAACTACTTTAAGCAATATGCCTGTGCAAATGAAACAAAAACTATGACACTTGCTTAGTTTAGTATTCTTCGTTGTCGTATAATTCAGTTTAGTTGAAAGAATTATGGTATTCTTAAGTAAAGTGCTTGAAGCCTGTAACGAAACAGATCAGTTTAGTAAGTAGAGTTGCCTGTTTCTAATGAATATACTGATTCAAATCAGTCTGATTAATAATAGGAAAAAATGTGCCTTTGATGCTGTTGCTGTCATACATTATAAGATAGCGATAAGTATGTTTGGTGTTTATTTCTAGATTGTACATCTATCACTGACCATATTTCATGATCACTGTCATTAAACAATTTCCGCAGCAATAACATCGGTAGCAGGATAGCTAAGTGTGTGAGCTTTTATTTGCCTGCAGAAGAGCAGTAAACAGTCTTAGAAGATAAGTGTTCTGTGTTTCAGTTAAATGCAGCTGGCTTTGGACAAATATTAAGAATCTTTTTGACAACTGGGACTTTTAGTTTATCAGACACTTACTCTGTTTGTATGTCTTCCTGTTAAGCTAGACGCAGATGCATCGTAATACTTAAATGGGAGCAAAATAATAAAAGCATTGCGATACGGTACTAAACCCATGTTACGCTTTGCACAAGTAATAGTAGCTGACCTTATCTAGTATTCATGAGCTCAAGATAAATCACAACTGCATAAGTTCTTTGCTAAAAAACATGTAATTTGTTTATTTGTCTTTTTCACATTTCCGACTAAATTCATCATTATTTTCTCATTTAGAATGCAACAGGAGTGAGTTCACAGATTCTGAAAACTGTTTCGCCCTTAGAACTATGGCCCTGCAGCGGTGAATAAATCCCCAAACTATTTACCGCTACAGCCCTCTGGAGCAGTTTATAAAAATGATGCTGGATGTCCATTTTAGTCTCACAACCACTTCCAGTACTTTTTGAGTTACTTCTTTTACCCTTTCGTTTGGAAAAAACAACAAAAACTGCAGCTTAACATTACCAATGCAACTTTTAAACGGGAACTTGGTATAAACCTTTGTTTGATATTCGATTCTTAATGAAAGTTGTTGAATAAATTTTTGAATCTAATGATACTTTGTTTTATCTAGTTAATCGTTGCAAGAAACTTGTGATAAGCGAGCCTCTCAGCACCTATTAACAAAAATAAAAATACTTCACGTTGATTGGATGACTTATTCAGTACAGTAAACCGAAGAACATTGTACCTATTTACATTCGATAATTTTGTTGTTTGATTATATTTTCCTTGAAAAAGCTTGGACCAGATTGCCAGGCAAAACGTTGAATTTACTTAAAATTTATTCGCTGAGATTTTACAAATATATTCTTCTTTTTAATGTCTCAAATGAACTCGGCGCCCAAATATTGTGAAACTATTCGTTTAAATTTAGACGAAAATTCTTACTAATTCATGTGTTCAGGCTTCCGTGTCTAGAAGCAGGGGATCACCAAAACCTCCAGGCAGGAACCTACGTATATTAACAATCAAAGAGGAAACAGAAATTGGTAAATCATAGTACGATACTGTCCTTAAGAATAGATCCAGTTGCCTCTCAAAAGACACCGGGGAAGTCGCTTGGACTAGCTAGGCGGTCAGCGAATTCCAGCATTTGACAACTCCTAAGGAGTAGAAGTTGTGTCTACAAAACATTCCCCTATGTTGTGTCTCCAGTTTCTGGGTGTTACCCCTTAGGTTAGTGTTGGAACTAAGCTTAAGTAGATGTTTGAGAGGATGTCCAGAAGTGTTAAGGATACTGTGAGCCACTAGGTCACCTCTAAGACGTCTATACTCTAATGGGTAGAAGTTAAGTGATTGGAGGCGCTCTTCATAAGGTGATTTGGTACATATCTTCGTCATTTTCTTGGGAAACCTACAGACTTGGGTCCTTTCACAACTTATTCTAGCCACCATGAGTTACCACGGCAGCTGATGGGTGGACAGGCCTCACACATCTTAACCGTCCCTGTGTCTAATCTCATAGCTTCTTATTCAAATGTCATATGATAAGCAAGTAATACCTCCACCGACACTAATGGAACACGAGTAACTCAAAGGCACCCTGTATGGTACCTTACATTGGTCTACACACTCACTTAGCTCTTTAGTGAGAATGTTACTACAATCGTGCTGAAAATCCCATGAACACCCCTATCTCCATCAAAACAAATAAGTCTATATTTGCTGCATATAGCAATTTTATTTCTTAAAAGTAAGATATAACAGTTAGAATTGGAGTGAAATGGCAATATACAGCAGATGCACGTGGTACATGTCTTCATCGATTAACTGAAATAGAAAATACGGATATTAGCTTAACAGGCTTATTTAGAAAGACTAGTGTCTACGTTGAACTTACTGCGTGAGAAAGTTATACTGAAACTACGAATAATGTAGGAATCTAGTCTCCCAGGGCGTACGAAGCACTCAAACTGGAAGACAGTTGTCCAAAAATAATTCGAATATGAAGGTGAAAATTTGCAGGTATTTTTCATCGTAAGGGTGAACATATTAAAAACCGGTTGACATCATACCGTAAAAAACACAAATTTGCGAGTGGTGAAAAATGATCTATAGAAAAGTGAGCTTACTAATAGTTAGTTACCTTTTAAATCCCTGATCATGACCCTTCGGCTTCCTTTTATGGCCAAAACAGCAAGCATACACTGTACACTGATAGCAGATTTACGGCTTTTCAATGTTAGGCTTGCTTTAACGCACTACGTAACGAGTACAACCCCTCTATTACTGCTATATGACATATTTTTAATAACAAACCCTCTTCAATAGATTGGTAGTATCTGTGACTTCGTCTATGGTTGTCGGAAGTCTGGGTCCTTTCGAAAACAGGGCTGATATCAACTACTGATGGGCACTCAGTATTAGTTTGACTCGTTGGCGGGATAGAGTCGTCCATAATACTGAAGAAAATTAAAAACCGGAGATTGTATTCTTTCATTTTGCCGATAACATCATAAACGACGCTTAGGAACGAACACGCGGACAGTTGTGGAGATAGGCCTGACAACCTTATTTTGTAAATAGTTTTCAATTTTTTGTCAACCTTCCACTGTATGTATATTTAACATTAAATGACTGTAACTGTTGTTTTAGTAAATGACCTTGAACACGCTTTCCGTTGAGCTACTACATAGCGTGACATATGGTTGCTTGCTAACAAATACATTGCTACACACACGCGCTCATTGTTCTATTTTCACGCCTTATCGAGTCAATCGCTTTCTAAATCGAATATTATCCACATTTTAGACTGCTGTGCCATTTCTATTACATCCTACGCCAAAGAAACTTACTGGGGTCATATTTATCTCATTGGAGTTATTACTCATTTATAATTGTGGATTTTCGGGACCAAAGCTCAACGGAACACGCAACAACTAGCTGATTTAAGTAACGTCCCTGAACTTTTATTTCGTGTTACTAATCTATAAATTGTTATTGTTACATTAACTTTTGGACGTAATAACTTTATCGCTAATTTTTGGTTATTATACTTTTTGGTCCACTACAGTCTAAATGTCAAGCTGTTAACTTTAGCATGAGACATTAACTCAATCTAAACACCATTTCGAGACCCCATAATGCTTGTACCACCGGAGACTCTTTGATAAACGCAGTGTCCAAGGTCAATTATTATGATGCTACCTTTTCCTCTGATCTCTCTTGGTCTTCCCACGTTTTATTGTTATCGAAGAAGGTTTTCCGTTCGACATTTGTTATATTTTTGCGTAAGTAACTTGCTGAAATATCTTTTGCTGAGAATTCTACATGGTACCAAAATATAATATTGAATAAAGCCATTAATAATAATAATATAATCAAATCAAATTAGAAGTCAGAAACAAAGATCCTCGAAGATATTTTTACAGGCTATAGATATTTCGTCATACCCACTCGTGATCTAGTGTTCATGTGTGACCAAACACCTTGAGCCTAGTGCGTCTAGTAAAACCAATTAGGTCAGCATCAAATGTCAAAGACTTACAGGACTATTTATTACGGGGATTTATTATGGCTACAAACCTAATACTGACGACCAACTTGTGTATCCAGTAATTTCTAATCAATCATCTGTAAGCACTAACACGAAAATCTCTTTCAATATGTTATCGAAACATCGAATTTCCAGCGTGTCTCTCATGGCTTCACTCGTGTTGAACCAACCATTGTCTATCATCTGTACGAAATTCATGAATCTGAAATCATTACCACGTGACAAAAACACTTTTAAATAGAGCAAGAACAAACATTGATGCATAATAGTATGAATTCATATTATTTCGAGGTTTTTCGTCAGCTGCTTACAAACCAAAATTGTGATAGAATTTTTTACATGGAGATAATGTGAAACAATTGACATAAATGAGTGTAAATAACTAGATTGCAATAGTAATTATATATATATTTGCTGAAGCCATTGCAATTAAGAAAATGAAACCGGATTTATGCATTCAAAAAGAGACTTTAATAAACTTATCACTACCCTGGTAATCTCTTTTGTTTCCGTTTGTCTTTTTG